TTTTTTGGTTTTTCTCCGGTACCGGGAACCGAACTCAGGACCTTGCGCTTGCCAGGCAGGCGCTTTTGCCACTGAGCTAAATCCCCAGTCCCCTGGTTTTGTCTTATTCTCTCATTTAGTAAATGTGTTTTTGACCTTCAGAGTTAGAAATTACACCTTTTGTGTGGCTAGCCATGCACTTACTTGTTCACAAGTGGCACTATATTGTCTGTATTACTTTTCCTCTCCCTTCATGCTGGGACTAGAACCCAGAGCCGCACACATGCTAAGCAACATAGGACATTATTTGTGTTAACTAAAATTAATTGTAAGTTCCGTGAGGGGAATAGATCAGGTCTAAGTTTTTTCCTCTTTTTTCTAAACAGTGTGCTATTATTATGAAGGGATTGTTATTAGTAAGCCAGGCTTTATACTAAATGTGTCCTCAAGCGTAGAAAAACTTGTTCTTTTTTTCTTTTCTTGGTACCGGGAATCAAACTCAGGACCTTGTGCTTGCCAAGCAAGGCACTGTGCCATTGAGCTATATCCCTGGCCTGAAAAACTTGTTCTTTTTTTCTTTTCTTGGTACCGGGAATCAAACTCAGGACCTTGTGCTTGCCAAGCAAGGCACTGTGCCATTGAGCTATATCCCTGGCCTGAAAAACTTGTTCTTTTTTTTTTTTTTTTGGTACCAGGAATTGAACTCAGGACCTTGCACTTTCCAGGCAGGCACTGTGATGCTGAGCTATGTTGCCAAAACTTGGTCTAAAAGTGTTTAAAATTATATCTTGGGTTTTTATTAGCTCCTTTTAACCATATCTGTAAACCATCAGCAAAAAGCTATACATTGTCAGGCATTTAATATTACAGTTTCAACTTGTTATAGGGCTTTCAGGACCAGTAAAAACAGTTATATCCTGTTCCTTTTTAGAGGGCGTATATGTGGTGGTGTTTCAGACCAGTCATAAGAATTTTTGGACATACTTGCCTAAAATGCAAACTTCTTTCTTCCTCTTGTGGGTATTATTATTGTGGAACTATAAGAGGCCTAACAAGTGTATATCTAGAAAACATAGTCAAATGCAAGAGAAAAAAGTTCTTATTTACTAAAATGTATTAATGGACACTGGAAAATTAAGCTTTTGAGTGTGGATATCCCTTTCCAGTGTTTTTGATATGTCAACATGTCATTTTCTCTCTTTTTTCTTTAAAGGATTTATCTTTCTTAGAAGAAAGAAGCAAACTATCATTTTACTCACGTAGATATATGAGTGTATTTCTGATATTGGGGTGCTCCAGAAGATGATAAAGAAATGATAGCAGCTCCAGAAATACCAACTGATTTTAATCTACTACAGTAAGTAATTTATATTGTGGTAAATTTTAACTTCTTTTTTTCCCACAATATGGGAACTGGTAACTTTGCTTAAATTTATTTCTGTTTGAGAAGATCTAACATGTAAAATAGTATGTATTTTTGAAATAATTTTTTAACATTGGTTGTGCTTTGTGGTAGTTAGTATTCCATACTTTTTTGTGTTATTATTTTTACACAGTGTATAATTTATTGTTTTTGCTCTGCCATTTTCAGTCTATACTTGGTTTTGCAATAGCATTTTTTTTTGAGGTAGCACCATGAGATTCTTAACAAGTTAAATGTTCCCATTAGTAAGGAATATATACCATGCATTAATGTTCAGGATGTAATGACAGATACCTGTTATAAACCCAAATGACGATAGGTTAAATAAACAATTCTATCTAGGAGAGTAGAATATGCAGTCCATAACTTTGCTAAAAGAAGTCATATACATATTGGTCCACAAAATAATTTCTTCATAGGTATGATTTTTACTTCTGTCTTTAAAGCTACCTGAATTTCTTAGTTAACTTTTATTCTGTTTATTTCTTGGATTTTGATGTACTAAGGAATTTGAACTACTATGTGTAACAGCAGTTTTCTCATTAAGCTCAAGTTTCATAGGGCGCCTCAGTAGAAAGTGGTCCTTTAAACTGTCCACAGATATATTTAATTTTATTAATTGTCACTCACTCACTCACTCTCACTGACTCACATACTCACATATCCATACACTTTCCTGTTAGGTTCTTTTTGAGACTTTATTTGAAAAGAGTTTGCTTGCTAAAAATTTTGAACATCACAGATAGATTGTACATAATGACAATCAGTGTCTTTCTCATGGCATGAAAATTTTCTTATTGTTAATACTTTTTGGAGTTTGAGTCTGCTAGGGTATTACTAACATTTAAAAAAAAAATAAATGTTGTGGGAATTGAACCCAGAGCCGTGGGCATGGTAGGGAAATGTTCTAACACTGAGCCACATTTCCAGCCCTCAAAGTATGATTTTTTTAATGTGATTTTAATCCTAGTATATGTGTATTTTTTTTTTTTAGTTTTGGTTTATTTTTGGTGGTGTTAGTGGAGATTGAGCCCAAGGCCTTTTATTATTTATATATAAATAAGTGCAGGTAGCTTATTACTATTTTACTACAGCCCCAACCCTTTTATTTTTAATTTTTGAGACCGCTTCTAAAATGCCTGGTGTGGGCTCTGGGGTTTCCATCCTTCTCCTTTAGCCTCCTAGAGTGCTGAGTTTACAGACTTGTCTGTATCATACTTGGTTCTCTTTTAAGCTTCTTGAGGAAAATTGTTTTTCTTTTTGTTTGATGGAGGATAGCTGAGAATGAAATTAAATTTGGGCTTGCTCAGTCTAAAATTATCTGAGACATTAATTTTCCCCAAAACAGCACCTTATTAAGAATTTCACATATTCCAAGTTTTTGTAAATTTAAGTATTACCATTGTTAAAATATTGAGTATCTACTCTACGATAGAAAGAGAAGATAATATATCTCTTGGATGTATTGAGATTATATACTATTAAACTGATAAGAACAGATACTACACTAGATCTTAGCCAAAAGGCTGAGAAGCAATTGATTATATACTATTAAAAAGTTCATATCATAGATTAGATTTGACTGTTAGAATATCTTGATTACTTAGGACGTGAAATAGGACACTGGACAAAAGAGAATTGATGTATGTTAGAATAAATCTAGAATTCGTTTGAGTATGTGGAATTGGTGGAGATAATAAAGAGGAGCATAACATTCAATCTTCTGATAGGTAACTCGTGATGTTTCAGATTACTAAAGGGTTAATTCAGTACTTTCCGTCGACATAAATATGTTATTTACCTAAGGTCACTTCTTGTTGTTCTTTAATCTTAAAGCATAGTAAAGCATCAGAGAAAGAAAGACTTAGGACAATATTTTTTAAATTAAGGGTTATTTTACATCTATGTTCTGATTATTCACTTCAGCTTTTTTCAGAAGGTTGTAGAGGTACTAATCAAACCTCTAGTGCCTCATTCTAGTGGTTGGGATAGCCTGGGGAGTTAAGAGTATAACCGAGCCTTTGATTACCTTGTGGCCATTAGAATATCCTGAAAATTGGTGACTATTCACAGATTTATAACAGTTACTGAGCTAAGTGGCTGGGTAAGTATTTTGTGAAGATAGAAATATTATTTATGCACCAAGATATTTAAAAGCATGCTGGGCATAGTGGCGCACGCCTGTAATCTCAGCACTTGAGAGGCTAAGGCAGGAGGATTGTTGTGAGTTTGAGACCAGCCTGGGCTACTAAGTGAGCTCAAGGCCAGGCTGAACTGCATAGTGAGACCTTGTCTCAAAAAGGCCCAAAAAAGATATTTAAAAGCATTAAAAAATTTTTTTTTTTGGCCAGGCTATATAGGCACATGAGAAGAATATTGATGATAACAATCTTTTAAAAATGTAGCAGGCAGAAATTTCAGGGTTAATAGTCATTCAGTTTTGGGTGCATGAACTCTGAGAAATGGTATTTATTACAAGTTCTTTCCTCATGATAGGACATAGTTAGGATTCCCACTACCTTCAGTAGTGTTTAAATTACTTTGTAGGTAAGTGCTATAAATAGTAATTTTTTTTTCCTGATAGCATCATAACCATTACTTTAGATTTATGAACTGTTCCTACCTCACAGCCTCTGGAAAACTGGTTATTGTAGCAATAAAAATGGAATTAGAATAAATCTAGATTGAGAAAACTGGCATTATAAAGCTAGTCTTCTCATTTATTTTAAGCAAAACTGGAACTGTGTTTACATATTCGATGGGATAAAATGTTTGTCTGTTATGGATATGGCCCAAATCTAAAATCTAGTGTGACCCAAATAGCAATGTAAGTAGTCCTTGCTTTAAGTGTGGATATGTTACTACTTAGGTGCACCTATATTTGGACATGTGGAAAAGATCACACGTTTATCTAAATCACTGTTTCCTTACATCTGTGAGAAAATCAAAATTACACAAAGGGTCAATTTTTAGGAATGTAGATTTACTGTATGTGTTGGATAGTGAAGAGCCTTTAGAGATTTCATTCTTCCCTGTGTTTACATGTTAAATATGAGCACACTGAGATATTTTCACTTGCACAAGATTATTTAGTGCTAAAACTGATTCTTCCGACTACTTTTCTACTGCTTGAAGGAGTTTAAGCCTTTAACATACTTCTCGACTGTTTCAAAGGATAGTTTCTTAAAATGTTGTATACATACCCTTTCAGAAATGCATGTTTTATGTAGTGACTCACACTAAATTTATAAATGGTTTTTGAGTGAGGTGGGAGAAGTCAGTGGATAGACAGTATTTCTAAAATTCCCCCCAAAATGTCTAATTCTGAGTGTTAAAATAAGTTTCCCTTAAGCACAATGGTCTTCGAACCAGAAAACCAAACCAGCCGTTATAACAGAATACCAAAGTTGTCAGTCTTAAATTATGAGTGCCACTGTTTTACTTTTTATGCTTTGATTAAAAATGAACAAAATATAAAAGTATTTAGATATTTGTATTTGAGTTTACTGGTTTTATAGCTGGTTATGTAATCTCGTATGGTTCTATGCTATGTATGATGTTTTGGGAAAGCATCTTAATTTTAATACTAATATTAAGTTTTCTAATGAGTTAACCAACTCTTTCTTTTAGAAAATGTTTCATGAATAAAAACTCCATTTATATTTCTAAGGATGGTTTTAAATGTTTGCTTATTTTTGTTTCAGGGAGTCAGAAACACATTTTTCTTCTGACACAGATTTTGAGGATATTGAAGGAAAAAACCAAAAGCAAGGGAAAGGAAAAGTATGTACCAAATATGTGATTTAATTTTGTTTCCTAAAAATGAGACTGTGTGTGTATGTGTGTGTGTGTGTGTGTGTGTGTAAGGAGGGGCAGACAGAATTTTATCTTTTAAAAATGGCTTGTTTTGCGACTGATTGGTATGTTAAACCTATATTTAAATCTTCTGAATACATGCAAATGATCCTTTATGTTTCCAGGAAACATGTCTGGAAAAATAAAGGATATGCACTGCTGTAAAGCTGATATTAACAACATATTATTATTTCTAGTAGTTTATTTTGTAAAAACAGTAGTATGTTAAATAAAATCTGGTTTGACTGGCTTTATTTTTATTTTTCCATAAATATATAATAGACGCTATTTTTTCCAAAATATAAAGCAAAGCAGTATGTGATTTCTTTTTTTTACTCTAAAAGCACCCTAAAATGTAATATATAAACAGGGGTTGGTGGCACACACCTATAATCCTAGCAGTCAGGAGGCTGAGGCAGGAAGATCACTTTGAGTTAGAGACCAGCCCAGGCTACATAGTGAGTTCAAGACCAGCCTGAGCTATATAGCTACTCTATTTTTTTAAAAAAGCAAAAAATGTGTCTGGGTGTGGTTGTGCACACCTGTAGTCCTAGCACTTGGGAGGCTGAGGCAGGAGGATTGCCTCTAGTTCATCAAGACCAGCCTGGGCTACATAGCGAGGCCATGTCTACAGAAAAAACAAGCAATAATAAAAAAAGTAACATATAACCAATTTAAGCCTTTAATGGGTGATGCACAACAATCATTTTATCCATTATGAGTAACACCGAGTATAAAAACTAACAAAGTTAAGTTCTCAGTTAATCAATTGCAAGTTTAGAGTATGAGTGGCTATATGAGAGCTATAGATAACTCGGTGTTTCTGAATGTACATTTGACTCTGCATTCATGTACAGACATTCCTCATTTAAAGACTGAGCTCTGTTACTGTGATTAGGTTATTAAATGAATTGGTCACTAAGTGAGGAATTGTATATAGTACGTACATTACAATGATTTAGAACAAAGGAAACTCCAACTTGATGACTTTGCTTTTATCTACATAACTCTTACATGCAGTACTATAATGTATAACAACAAAACTACAGCACTGTCATGTACAGTACAATCAGCAAAACTTGTACTGAATAAACAAAATGTACTATAAAGAATACATTGGGGCTCTATAAATAAGATGTACACAACTGTACCAAGAAAAGGACAGGCTGTGAATCTGAACAGTCATTAAACAGGTAGGTCATTAAATGAGGAATACATTGGAATGCATGTTTGACTTTATTTATGTAAATATACTGTTCAAAAATGATTTTTTTTTATTTTAAAGAGAGTAGTAAATGAGAAACAAACAAAAAAAGATAGAACAGTAGCAGCATACCAGTGTCATGAACATAAACAAATCAGAGCAAGAACATTAAAAGTGATACAGGGTCTAAAGACAAAATAATATGAATCAACAGTGGTTGTTACAACACTCAGCCACCTAATCTTTGATAAAG